GACACTATAATACGCTAGTATATTAGCGATATATGTATCGATATACCATCAGACCGATACATACCGTCCATACCGAATGGTACCATTCAAAATTACATGCTTACACTTAAACTCTACCGATCATGTAATAAAGTCAAAAAACCAAAAACGAACCTATAAGCACTTATCCCCATTGATGCAAAAAAGGCCCTCATAAATTCCAGAAGGCCGCTATCCTATAAGAAGCAATCATAGGGACTTTTTTGGTAAGTCGCCTACCCGATCCTTAATTCAAAACCCTAATTCCGAAGCCCAACCCACCCCCGCCTCTTGCCCCATTTCTCTCCCTGCCGGCGCCCTCCCCGTGCCGACGACCGACGTCTGCAAGTAAGAGTCTTTGATTCCATCAGACTTTAGGCGAAAGTGGAACCTTGTTTTTCCTTTCTTTTCCGATGTTGGGTTGTGATTCGTTTTGATTTGTACCGGGAATGCATGAAGGAAGGAAAGAAGCTATGAAGGTGTTCCAGGTGAACGGGAGCACTACCCTCTCCCTCGCTCTTTTCACCGACGTCACCAATAGCAGGTCTTCTTTTCTTTTCTTTTCTCTTCGTCTTTACTAATCTTGCCTCGTGCAAACAGTATTACATCTATTTGAAACTTCTTCAATATCCCGACGCAATTAACTGCAGAACTCCTTTCTTTTAAGCTACACATTCACTTCAGTTTGCTAATTTTTAAGAGGGAAAAGAACAAGAAACATCTTTTTTATTGTAATATCTGAATAAGCTTTAAATGGGGGAGCTTCGAGGATCTATTGTGCATTACGATCAATTAGGAAGCATGAGTAGACTGGCAGAAGTTGTTCTAATAGATGCATATTCAATATGTCATGTTGTTTCTTACTGTGGAGTTGCTCCCTATCTCATTGACCTGCGATGTATGAGCAACCAAAGATTTGTGATTAACGGGCCTACTTATAAAGAGAAAAGAAATTTGATAGTTCAGAATGATGGGGTAGGCTTGCTTAGATAGAAAAGTTTCCATACCATGGGTAACTTAATATAATGTTGCCTTAGTTCAGACTTAAATGTGGATCGATGTGACTCTGGTCTTACCAATAACGAAAAAAATATAATAATGCAACAATACTCTACCTTCTGCAGAACCTTATGACAGGCCAAGTTCAACTTGTTTGGGTCCTAATGACGCTTCATCAAATACACTAAATGCTAGGGATCAGGATTAGAGTGCTAGCCTTATTAGCAATTGTTTTATTGGAAGGGGTTTCATTGAAACACTGTACGTTTTACATTCTATTTATTCATTTTCAGGGAAGTAATATGTGTGAGTCTTTTGTGCACTGCACAATCAGAATGTTGAACTTGACGATAGAACAATACGGTCTTGAGATTTACGTAGACGAATATTTTTGGAGCTCATGCTTCTCATGTTAGATGAGTGCTAATGTTTGACTGAAAGGCATATTCATGGGCGTTCTAATGATTCTTATGCTGGGTAACTTCTGTATGATTTTACTTATTTCGTTTTATATGGTCATAAATTTCTCAACAATATTTTTTTAAGTTTCAATTTTTATGCTGTCATTAAAATGAGGAACTTATAACCCTTTTCAGTATTGGCATCAACTAGTTTGTCTGGTGTGGACATTGTTTTGAAATTTATTATACGTATATTCCTCTCTGGTTAAATGAAGCTTCTCTGGTTACAAATAACTTTGTGCTAAAATCTGGTTTTGAAATTTATTATACGTATATTTCTTCATATTGTGTTGATGTTTTATATAATTTTCCTCTATCGATAGCATGATTCATTGCAAAAGAACATTGAGTGACATGCATGGAAATGCTCTACGTAACTGAAGGTGGGGAAGACATTTACTTTTTGACCAAACTTTTCAGGCAACTTCTGGACTCTGTGCAGACTGGAAAACTGGAACCAGAAGTAGCACTGCTCAATGCATCACTAGTATGTTCCTCTCCTCTTCTGGTTAAATGAAGCTTCTCTGGTTACAAATAACTTTGTGCTAAAATCTGGTTTTCATTGCATACAAAATTTTCTCATATCACATAACTTTATGCACAGTAAGTCTTCTTGCTGTCATATATTTGATGTTGCTTATGCCGTCTAATCTACATGGATTCCTCTTTCATTTTATTTTTAACTTGGGAGTGATTGCAACTCTGGCATGAAAAATTGATATCCTTTTCGTTTGAACCTATTGTTTATACAGATACCAGATGTTTTCCCCATTCTAGCTGCAGCTCATAAGGCACTTGTATCCAAATCAAGGGAATCACTAACAACACGTACTCTTCATTCTGAGCTTATTTATAACTACTCCGGATCTAAACATGTAAATGTCTAATATTCTAGATCAACTTTCTTTGTTTTACCTATGATGTTCGCATAACAATTCTTCAATGTACTTTTTGCTAGATAACTGAATCATTAAAGAGATGTGGAATTTCTGATGACACAACCTATGTTCTTGCAGCTCGTTTTGCTGCATCTCATGATGAGGTATACAATTTAGCATCTATGGTTTCTGTTGGTTTTATAGAATCACTTAATCGACAGCTAACCTTCTTGAGGAGGTTGTTAAGTAGCATTTGTGGCTCAAGTATTTACTATATTCCATCCTACTAAGCTTTTTTAATGCATCTATTTTGTATAAAGAGGCTACATAGTACATACTGATTCTGCCATTTTAATACTTTGGAAAATAAAAATCGGGTTTTGTCTACAACTTGCAATGTCCTTATTTATTTTTTTTTAGGTGGTCTCATAACCTGAGATCCATTGTGTTTGCAATTTCTGTTCATTCTGACATTTTTTTCTGTTGCAACCAACAGGAAGGCTATTATTTCAAGTTGGACATTAGATGCTAAGTTGTTTTCAATCAACCTGACATGCATCAAGTTTATGCTAAACATGCATTTATATTACATAGAAAGAAGATCTATGCTGATGCCATTTTGAAGAAAACTTTTGTAAATTATCTAATTCCTTTGTTTGCTTTTGATTGTTTAATAGCATTTGCCGTATGCTTGCAATCTATTGATTAATGAGCTGTTTTTCCCCCAAAAAAAAAATGAAAAAAATGAACGGTGAGGTCTTACTATGATATTTAGAATTCATCCCCCATTTATCCTGTAGTCCCTTTCCACTTTCACAATTCTTCAAAATCATAAACAATCATGGTGTTAAAGTTTGGTTGATGATTCAAACTCTGAAATGGACCATTTAAATGTTGTCAACCAATAACTATTTTCTTTTGATAATTAAAATGATAGCTTTACACAAAATGACATAAATAGCAATGATTTTATTGAGTTATGACATAAAAGGTATTCATTGTACTTAGATGAAAGATGTGGTGAAGCTTATAAAGGGCAAAGAGATTGATCTGTTAGAGTTGGAAGGGAGAGCCAACAATGCACAGATCCAAAAGGTATATATTTCATTCTTGGTTAAGTCCATCACACCAGTACCATTCTCACTACAAATAAATGTTGACTGTGCTCTTTACCCTTGTTTTCTATTCCCCAGCATTATAAGATAACCCCTCAGGAATTAGCAATATCTTCGCTATCTGATGCAATCGTCTGTAGGATTGCAGCTCGAGATGCCTTGTAAGGCATTATCAACATAAGTGGCACATTGTTCTTCATCTTCAATTTTTTTTTGTTATTCTCCATGTGCTCTTGAACCAAAAAAAAAAATGCAATATTATGAATATCAGTCCCTGAATTCTAGCCTTTTTGTCTTGACTTGTGGACTGTGGTTCTCTAAAGTTCTTTTGTAATTGTATGAGATTCTGTCCCCAAGAAAGGTTTAATTTGATTTTGGATCTGAATATGATACAAGATGCACTTGTCTTTCCACTGGCAGCACACAAGACCTTGGACTCTAGAAATTCTTTGCAGGTTGTCTCCAAACATGATTTTTCAGAGATGGGCTTTCTTCAGATATCTCAGGCAGGGTATGATAAAAATGTAAGTGGTTGTGAGGCAAATGTTAGAGAATTAAGATGGTGAGCAGAAACTGAACTTTCTTCATGTCTAAAGAAATGAAATCATGGGCCACACATTTTGTATTTCCATGTTCTTGTTATGTATCTGTATACATTAGAGGAGTTGGATTTGCTGTAGATCTTTATTTCTCATGTTTCATGTCAATTAAGATTCAGTTCCTGCTGGAACTGTTCGTGGTCTTTCTCTCTCTACATATATATATAGTGTTAATTGTCATTATATTCAAATAAAAAATGACATTGATCTCCGCATCACAACACCACACCACGTGGTGGCGATGAGAGCCGAATCATTCAAATGTGTTGTTAGCGATGGCGACGAAGGATGGGGACCTCCAACGTTCGAGTCTTTTGTAATGCAGCGGGCCGCCGGCGCTTTGACTGCGTGGCAGCGTTTCCTTTGCCTCACCCCACCGCTGTCACCCGAGGACGGAGGGACAGCGGCAGCCGCAGTGTGAAGGCTCGAAGCGACACGTTCTCCATCTCCCACATGTCGGCACGTGCTTTGAGTAGCTTTCGGCTGTTCCTTGCCGACACGCGACACGGCTTAGCCTTCGTCATCAGCCACCGTCAATCTTCATTAATTATTGCTAAAGATGGATTGCTTGATGCCGTGTTGGCGTGTGATTGGCCCCGTCACATGGCCCGCCGTGTTGCGTGTACGACTGCCGCCAATGCATCATGTGTATGCGACGTCCAAAGCGCGGTAATCAAATCTCGACTGGTAATTAAATAGGATTTATGGCTATAAAACATGATTTTATTGTCTTCGAAACAGATATCCACTTCCTCAAATCAATTAAATTAAGAGAAGCTTAAGTGGAAACAAAAACAATTAATTAATAACCCAAACTCTAGGAATAATAATAATAATAATTATTATTAAATAATATTGAATTAATAATTCTCATGTGTCTTCTATTTAATGACACGTCTTGCCGACCGTTGGGTCTCTCTGACGCTCCGTTTCTCTACTCTCTTCTTCCTTCCTTGCCCTCCTCGTGCCCGGCGCATCTTTTTGGCCATCGCTTCCATCCATCACCCGAAAACCCACTCTTTCTTTTGCTTGCCTTAACCCGAAGCACAAAGAATCCAACCCTACCTGACAACTCTCTCTCTCTTTCTCTCTAGTGTTCTCCAATATTCTGACGGTAAAGGTCTTTTAGGGGTTCTCAACAAATCTGAGTGGTGGTCGGGAAGGGATGAGTCGCTGATTGCTTGTTGCTTGGTTCGGTCGGCGTTGATGCTGCTCCTCTAAAGGTAATTTATGGCAATGGCTGCGCTTTTCTTTTCTTTTTTTTCCTTTCTTTCTTTTACCTTTTTATTTATTGGAGAAGGAAGAACAAATCTCAGCGTCTTTTTCTTTCTTCTCCTCTTTTAAAGATCGAATCTTTTCTTGCGTTGGATCAGTATTTTGTTGTTCGCGTTGTCTTGTGAAGAGTCTAGTTTCTTTGTGTTGGTTTACCCCCCGGCGGCCTGCCATGGTTGAAATATAATCCGCGGATGGATGGAAGAAGAGAGTTTTTGTCGACTTATGCAGTTCATGTATGGGAAAAGGTCGTTTCTTTTTCTCTGTTTGATTTGTTTTCTGGAGGTTTGGGTTTGTAAGTGCAGGTGGTCGTCCTGGTGGGTGTCTGCTGAGAACTCCTACTACTTCATACCGTTGAGCTGGTCGATATCAGAAGTAGGTCGGATGGAATTTCGAGATTTAGATGAGCTAAACTTCTCTTACGGCAAAAGTGTCCCTTCTACTACTTCAAGAATCGATAGTATGCGAAGTGAAAAGATGATATATTTTGGCGTCCGATGAGTTAAATGCTAAACAACTTAAAACTCCTCTGTTGATGTAGCATTAGAACTTTAGTAGATTAATTTGGGTCAATATGGAAAAATAGACCTCTCTATCCGTATCTTGGGTCTTCTAAGTTAGTGTAAATTAAGAAAGACCAACTTATTGCTACCTGAAAGTTTCCTAGAATTAAGCAGAAGTTGAGCAAAAATCCTAAAGACCCATATGATTTTGATTGACCAATTTAGGGTCTAATTTTCTTATGCTTCCCCTCATTTCCGAGTGCTTGGTCAAGCATTAGAGCTCTAAAGTTCGTCTAAACCAACTATTATATGTGGCCTAGTTGTTCCATTGATCTTGATCAACTATTTCCAAGACTTGTGTCATTTAAACATGGATTTGCATTTCAGCTTGATAAACTCAGCAAGGAAAAAGATCATGAAATGTCTGAGAAGTCCTTGGAACATTGACCAATAAATTTGATCATCTGCTTATTGTAATTATTTAATTATTTGGACCTCTTGATTGGATCTATGCAAATAATATTTTTCAATCGCTAGACACCAAGGTATTTGATATAGTATTGAATTAATTATTTTTGTTTTCTCTATGCAAGATTCCTGTGCTCCCTATCACAGTTTGACTACAATGATCTTGTCTGCTTTGTTGTTAAAAGTCACTGTTGATGCTGTTTTTGCCACCTAAAATGTTCTTCTTTCTACTTGTCACAGATTTGAACACGTTTGGTCATCTAAAATTATCACCAACATAGACAATAAGGTTAACATGATGTTATTTATAATGCAAGTTCGTTAAATTGGAAGCCACATGATGTCGATAACTGATCACCAAAAGTTTTGAAGTGATTTGATTGTGTCAGCAGCTCAAACCTAAACATAATATGACTCAGTAGCAAAAAAAACTATCTCTAGATCACATTAAGAGTTTCTTGAAACTATAGTGCAAGAAAAATTTCAGAGGCTGATAATTATGCTGTTCTAGGTTTAGCTAACTTATCTTATTGAGTTTTGACATTCTGGATATGCTTCTTAAATGTTAAACATGGAAGATCTTTGTATTGGCGACTTTTTCTCTACATCATTGTTGTCTCATCTCTATGAAAGATTGCTTTCTTTTTTTGTTTCTATTTATGCTAAGATTTATGAGTACATAATACTACTATCTGATCTTTTGCAGGGTCGATACATAGAGGCGAATCACTATTCTATAAGCGACAATTATGGCTACACTTACTGACATAGGGCTTGCTGCAGCCATCAACATACTTGTTGCCATTGCATTCTTAGTAGCATTTGCTATACTAAGACTTCAACCAATAAATGACAGAGTTTACTTTCCAAAGTGGTATCTTAAAGGTGTAAGAAGCAGTCCAACATGCTCAGGGGCATTTGTCCGCAAGTTTGTGAACTTAAATTTGAGTTCATATTTGAGATTTCTGGGATGGATGCCAGCTGCTCTCAGGATGCCAGAGCCAGAGCTGATAAACCATGCAGGACTTGATTCTGTTGTATATTTACGCATATACTTGATAGGGTATTCTACTTGTCTTTCATTAATCTATTCTTCTTCTTTTTCTCTTTTATGTATGTACTGCATTCATGAATTTGTTTATTTTGTATCTTAGTTGGTGTAAGAGGGTAATGTGGAGTCTGAATAAATTATCCTCGACAAACACTGGTAATGCTACTTGGTAAATGGTGTTACCTAGAATTAGATGAAAGGGTGGTGATATATGATAAATTATTTTATTTATTTAAGGCTAATTCTTTACTTCTCTATCTGTGCAACTCTATCCTCTATAAGCAGGAACTTGATCATCTAATTTAGAATTTGGGCAATCATCTAGCAAGACATAGAAAGAAGCTGAAGCTTCGAGTAGTTGCCTGCTTGATCTGATTGGGATATGTATGCTTCTTATGGTCAGGATTTTTAAAACTTTTTGCAATGCTCTTGGTGAAATTGATAGACTTGAGTTTGCATTTAGATAATATAGTGGGAGAGAAAAGATAAAACAGTGCAACAAGTTTAAAAGAAAAAAAATGGTGATAAAAAGATTAACAATAAAAAATGGAGAGCTTTCTACAATACTGGGATTAGTTTCACCATTCACCTTCCTTTCGAACTTGATATTTCAATGTATAGACATGTCACTAAGTGGCAACAATTAAGAAGTTTTTGCTTATATCAGAAAAACAAGGTGTGGTGCTTCATGTTTGCAATATTGCATGGTTAATTGTTCTCCATCTAGTGGTAACTTTGCATCTTAATTTTCTTGACCTTTCTTTTGTATTGGGATTAGTTCAGTTATGTTCCCTAAGAATTATCAAATTATTTTTTATCTACAAATAATTGATCTCTTGGATTTGCTTTTTCTACTAGACTTAAAATCTTCGTTCCAATGGCAATCCTAGCATTTGCAGTCTTGGTGCCAATCAACTGGACAAACACTGATACCTTGAAAAATTCTGAAGTGGAGTTCAGTAACATAGACAAACTTTCTATTTCAAATATTCCTTTGAGTTCACAGAGGTAAGCTGTCACAAATTTAATATTATTTATAACTACACCGCCTACTGGTTGAACTAATTACTAGTTTCTGCTTATCCCCTTTCTTATAATACTAGTTGTAAAGTTGCTGAAACTTGACCTATTTTGAGATCATGTTTATCAATCATTTTTAAATATGGCTGAAACTTGAAACTAATTTGACTATTGGGTATATACGACCGTTTGGTGATTGGTATGCTCTTGCTATTTGCTTCTTGGTTTTTGTTATATCTCCACCTAACCAAAGAGTCATTGTCATAATGAAAATAAGTCATTTTCATCATATGCTGAAGAAAGATAGTTACTTAAAGATGATACTTCTGATGGTAAGCACATACTTTTTAAATAGATTTTAACTTCTTTATTGGAAACTATGTCTTTTTTATTATTTAGGACCGCTAAACTTGTTTGAATCAGTAGATTGTGGTACCAATAGATATCTGGATTTGATGTTCAAATATTACTTCACAGGACTTCAATTCTTTGTGTGGTGCTATCTTTACATGTATTCTTGCAGAATCTGCATGTTTCTCTGTTTTTTGGGTGTGATTTAGCACACAAGTGAATAATGTAACAATGCATAATTCTCTTCTGATGCTCCTAGATGATGCTTTCTTCTCAGTTATTTTCTGGTGAGATTCTGGTTTTTCATTTAAATTTAAAGATATTTTCGTTTATTTTTTCTCATTTGATGATGGAGTATGACCATTATATTTTTTCATTTTAAATTGAAACCAAATTATAAAATTTAATTCAATGATGAAATTGAAATTTTATCATATTTGAGCCTAAAATGATTTGTTTTACCTATCAAAGTTGAACATTGCTGGTAGATTTATTTACGATCAAGGTTCATCGTACCGTGATATATTGCCTAGTATGGGTTGTATGTACCAGTCCGATAGGGGACCAGTATGAATGGTACATACCAGTTTGTCGGTATGCCCTATCATATCACGGTATGTTGGTACGGTTCAGTATGTACCTTATCGATGAGCGATTAGTACACCAGTACGGACTGGTAAGGCGAACCATATTTATGACCTTTGGTTACATATGTTTCTACACACGGGATGCATTTTTAAAATTTCTCTTACCTTGTGTGGTTCTCTTAGTCATTTCTACATTTTATTTTGTTCATTGAATCAGCCAATTGTTGTAGGTTTTGCACCCTGTTGAAAAACAATGTTTATGAGTGTGTAACTGTTTCTTTTTATTGTAGGTTCTGGGCTCATTTAGTTATGGCATATATCTTTACCTCCTGGACATGCTATGTCTTGTTTAAGGAGTACGAAATTGTTGCATCAATGAGGTTGCATTTTCTTGCATCTGAGAAACGCCGTCCTGATCAGTTTACAGTAAGCTTAATTTTAGTCTTTTTAAAATGATGTTGAGAGAAATCTTACCAAAAGTTTGTTTGATGTCATGTTTGTGAATTTGGAAAAAAGCTGCTAGAACTTTCTTCTTTTCCTCAATGCAATATGGAATGAATCTAATTTCTTATGTTCACTATGCCCACTGCAATCTAAATCTCCTAGATGAACATGAACGATTTTTATGTATGCAATTTTATATTTATTTGCTGAAAAATTAAATAATTATATGTTTGGAGTTCAAGAATGACGTTTTACATTTATATAAAATTAGGAGAAAAATGGAAAGTTTATATTGTAGCCTCATTTGTTGATCTTTATATGCAAAAAGAAGACAATTTGTTATCTGTTGACAACTCTTTTACCATGGTTTGGTCATTGGTGTATGAAAATGTGTTGCCTCTATTGGGCTGGATGTATCTGTTCAACTAGGAATCACCATGGGGACTGCTTGATTTTGGGGAACACCACAAGTTTCCGACCATGTGGGCTAGTTTTGGTTTAAACCAATTGAAAGGATTCTATCTAGTATTAGTCAAAGTCAATCAAAATATTTAGAGATCTCCAACTCAAATTTCTATGTTCTAATTGCTAATCATGAATTCCACCCTATGACACCCCTCTTTCTCTCTTACCTTTTGCCTCTACCTCCTTCCCACTAATGTTACATTATGTTGAATATATTTGGCCACAACTTGCAACTCAATGATTGGTGGTCTTGACATTTTCCTACCAGTTCAGTACTGGAATGTGTGCTGATGGTACCAACATGCATCAGTTTGACCTGGAAAAATGTGAAGTTTAGGGCTGAAACACACATTTAATAATAGAGGCATTGCCACTATTGGAGATGAATTTGATTTGAAATATACAAATCATAGTGGCATTAGGATGTAATTTTAGGATGACCAACACACTGCACTCCTCAATGGCTTAGTAGGAAGGTTTAATGTCTGATTGTACACTTATTTATCAATATAGTTTCCTTCATAGTAGGAGTGTGTAATTGTATTTGTACGTATGTATATATAGAAAAATAATGCATATTTAAAACTATATACAATTATGAATAGCATCATTCTTATAGATTATAGTAGGTAACATTAAATAAATAAAGAGATAATCTGATTGTCCTTTACTCCTTATCTCTGCTGATTTGTGTCAGCTAACTAAGTTTTTATTCATTTCAGGTCCTTGTTAGAAATGTGCCACCTGACCCTGATGAATCAGTCAGCGAGCTTGTTGAACACTTTTTCCTTGTCAATCATCGGGATCACTATTTAACTCATCAGGTTCTTTATATGCCGTGACCTCATGATTTATAGTTTAATGACAGTTGAATGTTGAAAGACTGATGTTAATAGATCCCTAGTTAGTTTATAGTTTTAATGCTTATGAATTTTGTGTGCTGATATATTCTGATTGGTTGTGATCGTATGCAATGCTTAACCTTTATATTCTTTTCATGAGTCTCATAAAAATATTGTGGTGGTATTTATAGTCTGTATGGTTTTCATTACCTATTTGTGTTAAATTGGTCATTGATGATGAAAGAAAACACTAGATGCAAAGACTTCATTGCGGTTGAAAATAGAACATGCAACTGAAGGCTTTGAATCCAGTGCAGAGAAAGAAACTGTTTGAGCTGTTGTCTATCTGAATTGCCCATCACCATGATGATTTGAAAATAGGATGTAACTGAAGGCTTTGAATCCAGTACGGAGAAAGAAACTGTTTGAACTGTTGTTTATCTGAATTGCCCGTCACCATGATGATTTGACGGAACCTCACTGGAACAGTGATAAGAGAGTGTGCTTTTCTTTTACCATGATGATAATTGAAAGTTTTATGTTCAAAATAGGGAATGTTATAACAGCTTAATAAAATGACTGATGAATGTATGACTTGAAATTGAAAATATTAATGATGGAAATTAGTTTCACATGCCCAAATGCTGATCTAGGATAGATCTAGTTTGAGTCTTCATGCATTAACTAATATTTTTTTACCATTTCTTAGTCATTTCACAGATATATTTTCATCTTAAGGTTGCATGATATTTAGAATCAAGTAGGTTTAACATTGTGATTTAAGTGTAAATAAGATTCAAGTTGATACTTGATATGGATAAAGTTTAATGGTTGTTAGAGTGATATTAGGTAATTTCATGGTTCGCCTTATTGATCCATGTTGGTCTACCAACCAGCTATCGGTACAGTACATACCGAGGCGTATCGAGCACACTGACACATGGTACATGGAGGCGTATCAATATACCGCTCGTACTGGTCTCCTATCGGACCGGTATGTACCACCCATACTAAGCGGTATGCTATGGTATAACAAACCTTGAGTAATTTTATTTTATTTTATTATTTCTTACATTGCATAAAGCAAGGTTCGCTGTACCGTACCGTACCGACGTTTCGACCCGAGCTTGGTATGGTACCAGTGTACCGGGCGGTACATCAGGGCATACCGAGCGGTACACCCTGGTGTACCAAATTATTTTTTATTTTTTTTCATATTGTAGCAGTGCTACAGTATAGTACTGTAGCACTGTAGCGGTACCGGGCAGTTCGCGTATCGGTAACCTGTCGGACCGGTATGTACCGCCCGATATGGGCGGTACGCTTCAGTACGACAGACCTTGATATAAAGTATAAACATAACCTAAATTAATAATAAGATGCCAGACGAGACAAATTTGGTGGCTGATTCAATTGGCAACCAAAATTTGTGCTATATAAGTCAAAATTTTTTAGTTTGTGTTTTGATTTGCACGAAGCTAACATTATTCATAAATGGAGAATATGGGATGGCTTTATGATGATGAAATTGCTGGATGGTTGATAGAGCAAAGAACAAGTATATCTTCCCCAACAAAGCCTCTGCACCTCATGATTTAATAAGAGCACATTTTTGGTGATTTTACTTTCTGGAGAATCGATGCGCTAATGCAATGTCTGCCTAGTTTTTATTTCTTTCGTGTCCGATATAATTATCCTTGTAAATTGTAGTTTCGTCTTCTTCTATCAGAACTTATCAAACTAACTTTTCCATTCTCTTAAGTGTCTCAACCTATTCTTTACTCTCCGAAAGAAGGAAGAAACTAGTTCCGGCCTATTCTTTGCTTAAAAAAAGAAAAAGAAAAAAAAAACAACAATAACTAATAAGAACGTTAAATATTAGGACCCATGTCATATGACTCTTCATACTAACCCAAGTAATGTAGGTGCAAGGAGACCCCCATTAATCTCTCACACCACTGTGACACATTATGATTGTCTAGTTGACTCATTAAGTTATCAAATGGTGTTTTTTATTAAAATATTTTTTTATTAAAACATCATGTGCATTTTTATGATTCTGGATATATATGGTCATGATATTTGTCGTACTTGTTAAGAAAATATTCATGTAGAGGATAAAGATTGAAAGAGGACTAAAGAATAATTCATTTTGCTTAGGATTGAAAGAATGTGCTGATATATATTGAGTTTGGCCAATAATTTAACAGCTCAAGCTTTTGGGTTGGATTATTGTCCACTCTCATGTGTGTTAGCCCTGCCTGAAATTCATTTATTTAAATTCTCCATTTGGTATCAAAGCCATAAGGTCCACAATAGTTAGCTTTGATTAGTTTGACATAAACCATCCAATTTAAAATCTCAACAATACTATCAACTCAAAAGATGTTTTCTTATTCGCCTAGCATGCTTGAATGTATCAACCATATTGTGTACATGCAGTCCAATCCAAGAGGAAGCCTACACTAGTGCAGTACATGATGTGGCAATCCTTGGATTTCATGATGAATGGTGATATTGTTTGTATCAGTATTGGAATCAAGTATCTTTCATGGAAAACTAAGTGGATATGGATTATGGACAACCTCTTGGCAAGTGGTTTCCAATAATGTTGATGTGATGGTTCGTGAGAAAAGTTGATATGCAGTTTTCAGAAGTTCCTGTAATAGGAATCTGTTCCATGCATGTCTGCACACTCGCTTTTAGATAATGGTGATATTGTTTGGATCATTGTTGGAATCAAGTATCTTTCATGGCAAACTTAATGGATATGGATTATGGACAACCTATTGGCAATGCTGATGTGATGGTTTGTGAGAAGCTGATTTGCAGTTTTCAACTTGTCTCACCATAACTTTGCAAGAAGTTCCTGTAATAGGAATCTGTTCCATGCATGTCTGAACACTCACTTTTCCTTGTGTTACAATTCTCTTTTAGATAATGATCAGGATTAAAGGTGATAAAGCTTTTTCTCATGTACATAATCCTTGGATGTCCTGATGAATAGTGATATCATTTGGATCATTATTGGAATCAAGGTATCTTTTGTGGCAAATTATGTGGATATGGAATATGGACTACCTATTGGCAAGTTGTTTGTAATAGTGTTGATCAGTGATTTAAAAGGACGTTCAGACGAGGCGAGGTGAGGCCCGAACGCCTCATATAAGGGCCTGGTGGCGTGCTTCAATAAGGCATCGCTTGGGCGCTTGCTTGAGCCCAAGGCCAGGTGCTTTGAGCAAGCGCCCGGTTGATATAAGGCAACCAGGTTCGGTTAAATGTGCGTTAGTTGGTTTAAACAAATCAACTAACGCACACAGTTACCTCAAAACCTACGCGCGACCCCGACTCCCAACCCTAGTATGCGCTTTCTCCCTCTACCTCCGCTGCCAACGATTTCTCCCTCTGTGTCTGCTGTCGATGATTTCTCCTTCTGCATTCGCCGCTGACGATTTCTCCCTTTGTCTCCATCGCTTACGATTTCTCCCGTTGCCTCCGAGTCTTCCTTTGTCGCTGATCGAGTCTCCTTAGCTTCCGCTGTTGTCCGTTGTTTGCCGCTGCCTGTTGCTGTCTGCGACTCCGCTGTCGTTGCCTACTGCTGTCCATGACTCCGCTGTCGCTGCTGCTATCCACTACTCCATTGTCGCTGCCACAGTTGTTGTCCACTGCTTCTCTTCTGAGTTCTGACTTCTCACTATCGGTTTCACTAAGTGATATTTTTTTATCCCTTTTAACAGTTATACTCTTCCCTTCTAACTGTTGTTAACAGTAAATAATATACTGTTAACAATACATTATTAATTACTATGCAAAATAATCTTTATTTATTAGATTAATAATATGATATTTTTGTATATTTTAATATTTTAGAGCGTCTCGTTTTGCTCGGGCGATCGCCTAGCGTCTCGGGCGTTTTGGGACCTTAGCGCCTAGCGCTTTTTAAATCACTGGTGTTGATGCACTGGTCTGTGAGAAAAGTTTGATTTTCAGTTTTCAAATTGTTCCACCAAAATTTTGCAAGAAAACTATAATAGGAATCTGTTCCATGCATATCCGGGCACTTGCTTTTTTCATATGTTACAAGTATCTTTTAGATATGATCGATCAGGTTTTAAGGACATCTCTGCTTAAAGGGTCAAAATATTATTTACTAGTCTTGGTACGAGCTATGAGGGGTGCTTTAAAGACTTCTTCTCATGGGAGGATGCAGGGAAATAATAGAATGACTGGCAATTCTATGTTTAATGTTCTAGAATAATTGTCAATACTGATTGATCACTGGTCAATTGCAGTTTTTGTTTGGGATGATTTCAGATCTAGCTGATATAGTTTTTCTAGTGTTTGTAAAAATGTCCATGCATGTATGCATATGTAACCATGTGCATTTTTAGGAACTTTGATATGCAATTTATTGACGGTAGCAGCCATATGATGTTATTTCTTACATTTTCAAGTTATACTTTTGCTTGTTTAGCTCTTAGGAATTTTTTCTTGATTGATATGAATGCTCATTTATAGAATGAAGCCTATTTCCTCAATTTGATAATACTTTTTTTGTACAATATGTTTTAGTTTGATATTTTTTTTTTATACCATTAAGAATTAATCATAAATAGGCTGTTGAATATTTAAAATTATTGATATTACATTCACGAGGAGAGTGCTTGTTTTTAATTATAGATTTGACTTCTATTACCAAAAAGATAATACCAATATTTTAAATCGCTACATAATACTGGCTTTGGTAAGTAGTTCGATTAGTATGGTTCTAGGTTATCAAACAGTACCATTTGATATCACAAAAAGAAATTGATAAAAAATAAATATTGACTGGTACCTACTGAATGAGGAGAGTGCTTGTTTTTAATTATAGATTTGACTTCTATTACCAAAAAGATAATACCAATATTTTAAATCGCTACATAATACTGGCTTTGGTAAGTAGTTCGATTAGTATGGTTCTAGGTTATCAAACAGTACCATTTGATATCACCAAAAGAAATTGATAAAAAATAAATATTGACTGGTACCTACTGAATGCTGTGGTCAGACTAGTAATTACCAATTGACACATACAAATCTGAGGGGTATTTGAAACCTTGGAGAATATACTTGTATTTTTGCTTTCTTTTAAGAATGCTTATAGATGACAATATGTAACATGTGTAACCAGGATTGTAGTTGTTTTCATGCATGTATTTTCGTAGCATTTAATATGCATTTTAGTATGTTATAACAAACATATGTTTTGTAGGTTGTCTATAATGCAAACAAACTTTCTAAGCTGGTAAAAAAGAAGAAGCAGATGCAGAATTGGCGTGATTATTATCAACTAAAATATGATAAGGATCCATCTAAAAGGCCTGCAGTAAAGGTTATTTTTTCAGCTTATATCTTTCTCTTTGTTTTTTGATTTCTTCAAATGATCTTCACTTTTATTTATATTGTGTCTTCTTACCATGTGTTCTCTAGAAATCTCATAATAGGTTTCTTTGTTTTAACAGACTGGTTTTCTTGGACTCTGTGGTGAAAAGGTGGATGCTATTGACTTTTACAAATCTAAGATTGACGAGCTCTCTAAAAAGGTATGTGTTACTTATTGATATGATGGCCATTTCCAATTTACCACTTGCAATAAATCATATGCTAAATTAAATCATTTTCTTGTTTTTAAAAAGTTATAGTTGCTTGTGACTTAGGATTTACTTTCTTTTGTGTTCTAACTTGGGTTTTAATATATATGTAGGTTCATAGTTCAATTTTCAGCAGATTCATCCATTTTGTACCTCATGTATATGTTGATCATGGAACAACCTTAGTTTTCCATGCCTTTTCTTTTATGCTTCTAGTTCTAACTGTAAAGAACATGTGCTATCATGTTCTCTCTTAATAGCAGTGAAATGCAGGCATTATGTTGATAATAAGGTATGTCATGCCAGTCTATATGGGAACCGAGGAATTATGGAAAGTATTATTGAGATCCTTAAAATAGTATTGTTGAGATCTCCAAAATTGTCATACCTCAAAAGGCTTACAATACCTTTAGTTTTAGACCTTGCCTTGCCCTCTCCTATGACTAATTCTATAAGTCAACCTGGTTACTTCTCTATATTCAATTAGGATGAATTCTTCTTATTTTACTAAAACCCAAGTATGATCCTACTAGATTAGGAGAAGGATCTTCTTCTCCTGGTAGGATCAGATCAGGAGACTCCCTTAGATCAAGAGGGTTACTTAAATCTCACTCAGGTCTTGACTTATGCCTTGACTCAAGTTCAATCCAGTTGAATCATTTCTCTATTATAGTTTTGAGTTTGGACGTCGGAGACCAGTGGTTGGCCCACTCAAGTGCTGTGTGAATCCAATAAATATCAGGGCTGGTCCTTTTAAGATTTTTTGTCTCGAGCTTCTGTGAAATCATTTCTTTATTTTAGATCACTAAAATTTTGCATCATAACAATGATATTTGTAGTTCAATATTTGCTGTCTTGTTTAATGCCTTCTATTCAAACAAAGAATACAATTCTTCTACGAAATTGTAATCTTCAAATGACCGTATGATGATAGTCCGAGCAGTTATGTAAAGGCCTAGAATATGGTTTCTTCTAGGTTGATGTAGACTGACCCAGAAGATGACATCTTTTAGAGAGTTGCAGAAATGCTTGGAATATCATCTTCCTAGCTTGTAACCTAAAAACGTCAAATCGATCTAACAAACGTAAAAAATATTTCTCACCTCCTCTTCGATCTTTAGATTATCCCATTTGATAATCTATCTTTTTTCCATTATTTTGTATCATCGATGATGAAAGATGCTCCAGTGATTAGGAGGAGACGAAAAAGAATGATAAGAAGGGGAAGAAGTAGAAAAAAAAGGGGTTGTCTGGAAAGAGTTCAAAGAGTATCTTGAAATTAAGTGATAAGTTGAGGCATTTATATCCATTTGCAGACGGGTCTCTTTGAAATATTAAAAGTTCTTAAGATGAGATTGTAAATAGCAAAAAAGGGGTTGCCAATAGAAATTTTCTTTGTTTTATCTTATCAAGTTTTTATTTATCTGTATATTTGTGAAATCTTACCTATGCACACCAACCGAGTTGGTCCTGTGATGGTTTCCCTCTTAATCTTGAGGAAGTTCTTGGTTCAAATTTTCACTAGGTGGTGCCAAGTAATTGAACAAGATACTCATGGTGGAGAGTGTGCTTGGTAGCTCAAGTAGCTTACATTCTTTATTGCAGCTGTATCTCATGCTCAAGAAGTGACAAATTCATAAAATGTAGACAAAGGACCATGGACACTATATCTACGAGATCTTACACAGCTTTTTGGAAGTAGTAAAACCTAAAGTATCCTAGCTAATAAGAAGATATATTTAATATTAAAATCTCATATAGGTTCCAAGTACGTCTGGAGGCTAGAAAGAACTTATTTAAGATAGTAAATTTTCTTCTAGGCCATCAAGAAGGTTAAATTGATGAACAAAAAGAAAAAAAATCTTTTTCTGGAGTTGACACTCATGGAAACTTTTATTTTAGTTCAAAGCACATTGAATCTCTATTGGCCTTTAATATGATTATTGTTATTATTATTTGATCCATCCTTAAAGAAGCAATTGCTGTCACAATGCATCATTTTGCTGATGCTTGAAAGAACTCTCTTGATGTTCCTTGCCCTGTTAGAGTAATTTTATGTTTGGCAAGTAGACTTTTTATGTCAAGTTGTCAACATCTTGAGATGACTTGATTACCCCAGTTGGTGAGGTGCATTATTAATTATCTTCATGAATCTTGCAAGGCCTATCTTATTGCTTTAGAATTATTTATATAAAGTATCCTATCCCTCAAAATCACTCTTGCATATGTCAATTAAATTTAGCTTTATAATCACATTACTAGTTATATTTCCTGTGACGATTGTGTCAATTTGTTACATTCTTTTATACCATCTTATGGATTCTTAGGGTTGGTGATGGTATATGAAATTCTTGTTCAATTCCGGGTGCCATTTGAATTTTTTAGTTTGGACTTTTCTTGCTTTGAAGAAAAAAATGTTCCATACTAAACTAAGTCTGCTCTTTTATGGATAAAATTACTTTAGGAGACTACAGAACAAGAAATGATAAAAAAGGATCCAAAGTCCATTATGCCAGCTGCATTTGTTTCCTTTAGGACACGGTGGGGGGCAGCTGTATGTGCTCAAACACAACAAACTAGAAACCCAACTTTATGGTTGACTGAGTGGGCTCCAGAACCTCGGGATGTGTATTGGCAGAATTTAGCTATTCCATTTGTTTCCCTCACAGTCAGACGGTTGATTATAGCAGTTGCCTTCTTCTTTCTTACCTTCTTCTTTATGATTCCAATCGCATTTGTACAATCTCTTGCTAACATCGAGGGAATCGAGAAGGTTGTTCCATTTTTGAAGCCCGTAATTGAAGTGTAAGTTTTGTAATTTGTACTATTGATTTCTTTTGTTTATTTGTCTTCTGTTTCTTGCAGTGTGAAATTATTCTACTGAAGTTTCCTTTATCTTGAAAATTCTCACATCTAGTTTTCTATATATTTCTTACTTGTACCTAATTGTTGATAACTTGATATGACTTGTTGCCAGCTTATGATAGCTAGTTTTTCAGTACAAGTAATTATAAATACGATCCCAATGATATTTTTCTTTTTACTTTTGAAACTTCTACATAAAACCATGTTTTGAGAAGAATATGTTATGCTCATAAGTGTATCTTAAGCCATAACATATTGGGTAGAAACCATGTTTTGTAAGAATACGTTATGGTTGTAAGCCATTAATTCAGGCTAACCTATATGGTTGATCATAAGTGTCATAAATCATCAGAGACTTGGAGTACCAATAGGATATTATCAACTTATTTTTAGAAAACAACCTCTTTAAAGAAGGCTTTCTTAAGGTAACCATCTTGCACTTGTGAAAGCATAAGGAGAAGAACAAGGTCTTCATACCAACCATTATGTAACCATCATCTGTATCTCTGGATCCAATTTAGATTGAAGAAAAAGTAACATACTCATTTCCGAAAGCCGTTTGATCCACAGATTTTCTTTGACATTTGGGGTTGGGCTAGTGACCATGAGCGTGGCAAATTCCATGCTGATAGGTGGTGCACGCATATGGAAACACTCAGAACATCCAAACATGCTATCACAACTAGTGTTAACAGAACTAGGATGCATCATATTATTCATTTATATGTTCATTTGTTAGGAAAGACTTGAAGTAGATCTAACTAAATTTACCTATTCCTAAACATATTGAACGAAGTAAAACAGTCTTGGACAGAAATGGAAAAGAAACGGACTAAATTTACCTCTAGTTTTATTGTATGAAAAAGAAGTGGAAAAGATAAATGTCAATTTATTTCTTTCCATTGTTTGATGTTTTTCTTCTTTAACTCATTTGGCATTTGGTATTGATGGAAGTTGATAGTGACTATAGCAGCAGATAGCTATGACATAGTGTGCAAAATAAAAAAGGGGCTTCAGTCACTGCTCTTTAGTTTGAGCAATAATCTTATACCCTAGTAGTCACATAACGAATGTGCCCTGATTACAGCAGGAGATAGCTATGGCATAGTATGCAAAGTAAAAAAGGTGCTTCAATCACTGCTCTTCAGTTTGAGGCTTTGAGCTATAATATAATACCCTGATAGTTCCATAACGTGGGCTATGATATATATGGTATATAAGTCACTTCTTGACTTTGTAAAGGAAACTTGTCAGTCCTAGTCCTACGACTCATTTGTATTATTATGTCATGTGAAAGCCAAAAAAGAGTTTGTTAAGCTATATGAAATGCCTTTACTGTGAAGGCACCAGGGATTTGAGTAGGTGACATTGTGATACCTTAATGTTCCCACATAAAAAAGGATTTGTATGTTAACTTGAGTACCTAGACTCAAGGATTCAATCCTGGGTGTTGGGATTGTATCTAAGGCTGCTTAAGCCAGTTCAATGATACTGTACTGAGACCTAACAACATTTTGTTTTGTAGCCATTGTCATAACAAAGTGCACATATCCCATTTAAGATATATTGATCATGAACATTTGTCCTTGTCATCTACAAATATTTAAGGTAACCTAAAGGGAATAAGACCACTGTTATTGGCGGTGGAAGAAGAAATGGGAGAGCAGATGTTGTGGCTGATCGGTTATAGCAGCATTCTATCATCAATTTGTGTACCATGATATTCTGGATTAGATAGGGCCTTAATTCATTATCACCAGGAATTTAAAAGGTTATTCTATAGATTTGGACTAGGTATGTCTTGGTCTGTGCAACATAAATTAGATAATATAATTTAATCTCAAACCAGCATATGAGCCTCTAAAATTTTGCATTTGTTCATACCAGTACCTGCTTGTCCTTTGATGAAGCTTTTCTAGATTTATGTTGTAGTTGAAAAGTAATCATCATGAATATGTATCACCTAATATAAATATTACATTGTGTCAGAGAATTGCCTAAACATCCTTTCTAGTTATTCCAAAAGAACTTTCAGTTTTATTATATTACAACAATTTTGGGGATTTGTGATATTTTGAACATTTTCTTTTTTACTGACAAGTAATCATAATTTTACAGGGGAACTATCAAATCATTCATCCAAGGTTTTCTTCCAGGAATTGCTCTGAAGATCTTTCTTATATTGCTCCCTACAATATTGATGCTTATGTCGAAGTTTGAAGGATTTACATCCTTGTCAGCATTGGAGAGAAGATCTGCATCTAAATATTACCTCTTTTTACTTGTAAATGTATTTCTTGGGAGCATCATTACTGGAACAGCATTCCAGCAGCTAAATAGGTTTATTCACCAGTCAGCAAATGAGTATGTTTTGCAACTTATCCTCATATCTGAAAATTACTAAATAATTAGTTTGGTTTTTATAACCTATGCGCTTTACAAGATTTGGATACCAATAATTTGGAAATGAATGTGCATCATGGTTGATACCTTCATTAGCTCAGATATACCAACAAGTGAATGGATTTCACTCATCCATCTATGCGAACAGCACATCCTATGCATGAATCTTAATGCATATTTTGGTCAGAATTCAGAAAGACTTTAGCTTCAAAGCTTTTGAAACTAATATGCCTTGTTGTGTGTGTATATATATAAAGATATTTACCTTCAGATATAAGTTTATATAATGTATATATACACACATTGTTCAATCAAGCGTTTCTTTGTAGTTGTATTTCATATACCAGCATCCTATAAAATATTTCCTACTATTTTGTTAGTAAACCTAATGAAATATTCTAATCACTTGATAAAATGTTCTGCCCATGCTAAGAACTATTTGTGGTTAGGTCTGGAATATGTTCTTAAATACAGACTAAATAGAGTTGTCTGGCTTCTTGTGGTAAAACCAAGGATTAAGATTCTGGTCATACTGAACTAACTGAAATACATTCTGTCTTAAGGATTAACAAACATGGTACAAAGATGTGCCAGTTATCATATTATGGCAGCATATAGAAACAAGTCAGGTATCTGATAACGATGCTTGAAATGGCATGATAATAGTAGTACCGGATGAACTGCTGAAAAAGAAGCATCACATGACACCTTTACCATGGGTGAATCACAATATAGATAATGTTTTCTTACCTGCCAGCATATGTAATATAGTCGTGGACACAATGACAATGCATGACATGGCAGTATAACAATACCTGATTAATGACCTACTGGAAAGGGCATCATAAACCTTAATTGAGATGAATCACAACATAGGTAGTGTTCCAGACTTCCAGTTACCAGATTGTTTCTCTTTCTGGTAATTACACATTTGTCTTGTGCTTTATTCCTAGACTTCTGTTCCAGAAAAATTAGAAATTTGACATTAAATAAGAGTTCTTACCTCTTATGAAAATTGACTTGTTGATATGAATCTTTGTCTTGTGCTTTATTCCTAGTTTTGAATCTTTCATTGAATTATTCACTCGATCTAACTTCTTTTTGTTTATCAAGAAGTCTTCATAATTTAAAACTGTCCTGTTATGTAGAATTCCAAGGACAATAGGTGTATCTATTCCCCAGAAAGCAACATTCTTCATTACCTACATCATGGTTGATGGTTGGGCTGGAATTGCTGGGGAGATCTTAAGACTGAAACCTTTAATAATATATCATTTGAAGAATTTTTTTCTGGTGAAGACTGAGAAAGACAGGGAAGAAGCTATGGATCCTGGAAGTATCGATTTTGCCTCATCTGAACCTAAGATACAGCTGTACTTTCTCCTTGGTCTTGTATATGCAGTGGTCACACCGTTCTTGCTTCCTTTCATAATAATTTTCTTTGCCTTGGCATTTGTTGTCTTTCGTCATCAGGTGAGCAACTTAGTAATCTATGATCCTGCAGACTTAGAGTTGCATTATATTCCATAAATGGATTTTCTTATATTGATGTACATGCATATTTGATTCAATGTTTAACTACTTTATAGTTGTCTAAAGCTTGGTTATGTGAAGTGTGTTCTTTATTAGTGGTCTTTGTGGTTCCCACAGGACAAGTCCGTTATTACCAAGGTCTGCAATGCCGTACAGTATCGATGATTCGAGGCTGGCTCGGTACGTTGTACCGAGCGATACGCCAAGCGTACTGAGCGGTACACCTAATTTAGGGTGTAAAACCCTCCGAAAATACCTAAAAATAAAAAAAAGGTTAGGATAGGGTTTTTAAGTTAGAAATAAATATAGTAATAGTATAAGTTTAGCAAAATCAATGTAAATTAAGTAAGAATAGTATCACATATCTTTTTCGGGCTTTGAGGAAGTCTTGTTCAAGGTTCGTATTTCAGTCCG